TTGATGAATTCCCACCCTCCCTCCCATGCCAGTGTGCAGTGTGATTAGAGATGATACAAGATAAGGAAAACCCATATTCTTTTCTTAATGTAAATAAATACAGCAGTTTTGAAGACACAAAGGTAAGATTTTGGAGCTCCAGCAATATGAGGAAAATGTGCAAAACCAGCATTATGCTAAAGAAAAACTTCTGTAAAACAAACAGTCGAAGCTTATGCTTTCAAATATTTATTCTCTTAAGACTGAATCATAGAATCATAGAATAGTTAGGGTTGGAAAGGACCTTAAGATCATCTAGTTCCAACCCCGTGCCATGGGCAGGGACACCTCCCACTAAACCATGCCACCCAATACAATAATCCCCTACCATTGGGGTACAATGGATATACAACTCTAAATTATTTCTGCCATTGGGATAAAATGGCTATATGATTAATTGTTGGTTTTGATTGCAAGACAAATAATAAGAAGAAATCCAAGATGAAACTATTTAAGGTTCAACTGACTTCGATCATTAATATTTGATTTAACCATTTATATATATATATTATTTTTTTATATGAAAGAAGCAGTACCATGATTTTACTAATACAGATGAGCATCTCTTAGTGTGAAGTTTGGAAAGCCTGGTTCTAGCACTATTATTGATGACAAAATAAGAAAAAAATGGCATGATGCTGCAAAAATTGTACTGATTCTAGACTTGCTATCTACTTAATATTTGTTTAAAACTTATGTTTTTACTGAAAATTAGTATGCTGACATTAAAATTAGAGATCATTAGGTGAACTGGTCTGTTGGTTATGAAAAATTAAAAACTAGCTTCAGGCATAGTAAGCAACTTCATTATAAAAATGCAAAATATTTTACTATGGTTAAAAATTAAAGTACGTTTCAAATGTTATTTAAGCTCTTAGAAAAAAGTTTAAATTTAATTTTTTAAGGTTGTTGTTTTGAAATTAAATGTTATGTATGAAATAGGCATTTTCAGAGCATTTGGCAGATTCCAGGGAAAATACGGTACAAAAAATATTACCAAGCTTGAAGAGAAATACCAGAGTTCGCATTACTCTGTCTCATCCCCCTGCACTTCCTAGCATGGAATTCTTTTTTAAAGTGTCAGAAACTATTACAAAGCAGTGATGCACAGCTCCTATTAATTTTATTTTCCTCAGCTACTGTACTATTGTTTTCACTTGGAAAAAGAAAAAAAACAGTGCTTTCTAGAAATAGGTATGGGATGCACAGATTAGGCTGATTGTCATAAGAACATTTTATTATTCTTTGAAAGCGTATCATAATCTTGCTGTACTTCACTTCTCACATCTGGACTATGAAAACATGTTAGATTCCTCTCCTTCACAGAAGCCTTGATAATGAAACCATGTCTACCCAGAAGGTGTCAGGGGTAAAGAAGCCATGTACAAAACTGTAAGATAACTTTTTTGTGAGATTCTTCTGCATTCATGCACACATAATTATGAAATTTGGGTTTTGTTCTTTTTTTTTTTGCATTCAGCATTTCATAGAATCAGAGAACAGTTAGGGTTGGAAAGGACCTTAAGATCATCTAGTTCCAAACCCCCTGCCATGGGGAGGGACACCTTGCACTAAACCATGCCACCCAAGTCTCTGTCCAGCCTGGCCTTGAACACCTCCAGGGATGGAGCATTCACAACCTCCCTGGGGTGCTTCACCACTTCCTCCTTATATCCAATCTACACTTCCCCTGTTTAAGTTTTAATCTGTTACCCCTTGTCCTATCACTACAGTCCCTAATGAAGAGTCCCTCCCCAGCATCCCTGTAGCCCCCCTTCAGATACTGGAAGGCTGCTATGAGGTCTCCACGCAGCTTTCTCTTCTCCAGGCTGAACAGCCCCAACTTTCTCAGCCTCTCTTCATATGGGAGATGCTCCAGTCCCCTGATCATCCTCGTGGCCCTCCTCTGGACTTGTTCCAACAGTTCCATGTCCTTTTTATGTTGAGGACACCAGAACTGTACACAATATTCCAAGTGAGGTCTCACGAGAGCAGAGCAGAGGGGCAGGATCACCTCCTTCGACCTGCTGGTCACGCTCCTTTTGATGCAGCCCAGGATACGGTTGGCTTTCTGGGCTGCAAGCACGCACTGAAGCCGGCTCATGTTCATTTTCTCATTGACCAGCACCCCCAAGTCCTTCTCTGCAGGGCTGCTCTGAATCTCTCCTCTGCCCAACCTGTAGCTGTGTCTGGGATTGCTCCGAGCCAGGTGTAGGACCTTGCACTTGGCATGGTTAAACTTCATGAGGTTGGCATCAGCTCACCTCACCACTGTGTCAAGTTCCCTCTGGATGGCATTCTTTCCCTCCAGCTTATTAACTGAACCACACAGCTTGGTGTCATTGGCAAACTTGCTGAGGGTGCACTCAACCTCACTGTCCATGTCAGCGACGAAGATGTTGAACAAGACCGGTCCCAACACCGATCCCTGAGGGATACCGCTCCAACTGGACATTGAGCCATTGACCACAACTCTTTGCGTGTGGCCATCCAGCCAGTTCTTTATCCACCAAGTGGTCCATCCATCAAATTGATGTCTCTCCAATTTAGAGACAAGGATGTTGTGTGAGACAGTGTCGAACACTTTGCACAAGTCCAGGTAGATGATATCAACTGCTCTACCCCTGTCCATCAGTTCCGTTGCCCCATCATAGAAGGCCACCAGATTGGTCAGGCAAGATTTCCCCTTAGTGAAGCCATGCTGGCTGTCACCAAACACTTTGTTGTTTTTCATGTGCTTTAGCGTGCCTTCCAGGAGAACCTGCTCCAAGATTTTGCCAGGCACAGAGGTGGGACTACCTGGTCTGTAATTCCCCGGGTCATCCATTTCCCCCTTCTTGAAAATGAGGGTTATATTAAATGGGGGTTATATATTATTTCATATTCCCCTTTGCTTATTTTAGACTACTCAGGAGCAGCAAGCTACCCCTTTTATCAAAGTATCAGAACAAAACAGCATTAGGAGCTAACGATATATATTGCCTATCTTGCGGCATGTACCTGATTCCTCACTGAGGCAAAGTCAGAGGAGGAAGAGCTGCTGCCCGATGAGGTTGTTGGGATTTGCAGTGTGTCACTACCATTTTTAAATGGGCATTACCTGTGAGGTTATGAACATTGTGCTAACAGATTCTTCACTTCCCTGTTAGGTGGAGGTGTGCTTCTCTGTGTTTTCTTGTTAGTAGGCTCTTCATTAAAGCAGACGACTTTTCTGCTTGTTTTTCAGGTGAATCTATTTTGGGCAGATTTCAGAAAGCTAAAGGAAAGGCAGTTGTGTGGGGCAATTGCTAATTTGCAGTCCAAACCTTTTCCAGGCAAAATTCAGGTTACTCTTCCATCAGGCTGATTAGCCCACTAATACTTTTACTTTTTAATAGGTGTGGTGAGCCATCTTTGTGGCATGCTTGGGGGGTTAGTTTCTGCAGAAAGAGGGAGGTGACTGAGGGTGGAGGAGTGATCCAGAAGATTCCAGAACAATCTGGAATGGCTTAGGGTGGCATTTTCTTGAGGTCCATCCCAGTAGCCTGTCAGGAGGGCACCTTGGAGAGGTGGCCAATTGGTACATGCTGCCTGTGTGAGGGCCCTGAAGGCAGCCCCAGCCCTGAGGGGCAGCAGGTTTGGGCAATGCCTGAGGGTGGAAGAAATGGTGTATATGAGGGTGCTGGGGTTTGGGGAGAAAGGGGCTATCTGGAGAAGGTTTGATCTGCCTCTTTCAAAATTGAGATTAAGGACCTTTGAGACTAAAGCAGGAGGGAGTTGGTGTGTGATGAGCTGCTGGAGCAGGCATTTCAGCTGGCCAGGGACCCAAGTGAGTCTTTGTAACATGAAGTGTGTATGAGTTCAAAGGAGTAACTATGAGCATGATGATGTGATATGAAGCTTGGGCTGATAAAGATGCAAATTGGTGAATGTCCCATTTGCACTGCATCTGTTTAACCGTTGACTGTTGATGATGAAACACCCTCAAAGAATGCAATATCAAATTAAATGTAGGAGCCTTATGTTATCTAAGTTTATGATAACACTTCTGGTATGTTGCAGGTGTGTCTCTGACTTAATGTCTTGTTTATATACTTGTTCATTTAATGTTTATTCAAAAGCAAAACAAACCCCGCTTCTTGTTTCTTACACAGGTGCTACTCAGCCTCTTTATAAATGCAGCCATTGTATTTTATGAGTCGAGAGTACTAGAGTGCCATAATGTTCCTACTCTGTCATACTGCTGTTTTTACACTGAAACTGCAGTCTAAGAAAACCTAAGTGATTGTGGTTGTGTGTGAATAAATAAAAAGTTCTTTAGCCATGAAAACCCTCATGTCATTAAGTTCCCAGTTTCAGAATTTTGTGACCTTTAATTACGTATCTGCTTGTTCTGCGAGTGTGTGCTTTGCTTAATTCAAACTCTCTTGGTTACTACAACATTAAATATTGTTTATGTACTTATGAATGTATAACATAATGGAAATAATAGAATTATGACAGTGATGCATGGATGTATTTTTTAAATCATACATAAGCACAAGCAACTATCAACCTATTCACACAGCAGATTTTAGATTTATTGACTCTACTTACTGAAAATGTTAAATGTACTCATGTTACCATGAAAAAAAAGTGCATTCTAGATCACTGTGTTTGAGCTGCTATTGCTGTGGTTGTATTGTTACTGTTATGGTCAAATTACTTCAGAAAATACGTATTTTGGAGAATATTCTCCCTTGGTAAAGTCAAGGCTTTTACTTGAAATGTAGGTTGTAGAATACATTCAAAGACATTAGTTATAAATCAAACCAATTATTTCTCTAGAAAGCTTTGATTTATGAATGTCAAATTAACTTTTCAAAACTTGATGTAATTTGTCTCCAATCTGGAGATTTTCAAAAAGGAAAATGAAATGTATTCACACTGTGCACTCAAGGTAAAATTCTGATGCAGTATTAATCAATAACAGTGTCTTCTAGGATGATGGGGACATAATTCAACAGATTCATTTGGAACAGCTGTCATTCTTCTAGCTGACAGAGGGACCAGAAAAAAAGGTAAGAAGAACTTGTTCTTTTAGCAAGAAAGTGTGTTTTAAATTCCATCTTTTTTTTTTTTTTTTTTCTCCAGTAGCTTAACACAAAAATGCGTGTTAGGAGCTTAGACAGAGAAGTATCAAACAGATAAAGTTAAAACTTTGTAACTGGCATTGTATAATATTAAAGAAAGTTAGTGTGATACTTTATTAAAATAGGATTCTCCAGGGATACAAAAACCGTGCTGTTTTTTCTCTTACGTATGTACAAAAAGTAATTCTGTGATCTGGGATAGACTTTATTATTCTTCATTGATTGCCTCATTCTGTTGGAGGACATTTCTGGCACTGAGGTATAGACCTGTCACATATATCATGATACGTTAGAGATCTATCAGGTCTGTGGCTCTTTCTGAACTGCTGTTTCAGAAAAATGTGGCTGATCATTATAGGCAGAATTTTGACGTTTCCAAGTTAAAATCAATCTTCTTTACATGGTGTTTCTCAAACAAGGCTTAGGCTTTGATTGCACAAGTAATAATATCACATATTTGGGGGTGCCACATGACAAAGAATAATTTGGGTAACAGATTCAACAGGTGTTCTGTAATGAATATAAATTGGAGAAATGACGGTAAAAGAGGTCCTCAAGGCAGATGTCAAATCAAGCACTGATCTGCTGTTGCCACAAATATGAACGTAAAGGTATGAGCTTGTATTTCTTTGTAAAGTTGGGGACTAACAATGTAAGCATAGCCTGTTGTGAGCTAGTATACCATATTGAGAAGGAAAGAAAAGAAAGGAGTAAGAGCTGTTAAAAGCTGTTGCTAAAAGTGTGATAAGCAATGTCCTAAATGTATAGGAGGGGGGAGGGCAGATGAAGCACTGTTGTAACTGATGGACATTGAACTTAAAAATGAATGTAAATAATGTTCAACAATTGATGTAATTATAAAATACATTGAAACAAAGGCAACCGTTGTGTCAACACAGGTCCTTGTCCAGCTGGCCAGCATCTGGGCTTTTACTTAGGCAGTATGTTGTTACTAGAGACAAGACACAATGAAGTAGTTGTATGCAAATGGCTGTATCTAGAGATAACGGAAGCACAGAAAAGATTCATAAACAGTCAAACAAGCACAAAACTAAGATGCTAGGAGTGTGATGGTAAAATATTTTTATGTTGGGTTGCTGCGCAGGAAAGATATTTGGAAATAATGAACAAAACTGTGGTCTTGTGCTCTTATTTGCTATGTTCAGGAAAATAGTAATCAGAAAAATCAGTCAGTAAAAGAAAATATATATTGTTTGATTATATATATTGAAGTTTTCCCCTTCCAATAAAAAGTAGCATGGAAATTCCGAGGCAGTAGCCATTTTTGTTTCAGAGTATAACCTTGTGGGAGGAAGAATTGCCTCAACATGTTTATGTCTATGTTGATGCTTTCAGCTGGCTTTTAAATTTAATAGAACTGCACCTTTGGTGCAGACAGGTGGTATAATAAAAATAATATTATAATGGTCAAGTAATGTTAAGAGAAAGAACCACAGAGAAAGGAAAAGAAAGTGACAGAGGTAGAGGTCAGGTTTACTTAGTCAGATACAGGCCTGAATTGAGTGGTGTTTGTTTTTTTCTGTAAGAAATAAATAGATGAAAAAAGTCTATATGGATGTAGCACCGAAATGTGAGGCAGTATTCTAAATTTGTTAATTTTTTAATCCACAGTAAAGACAATCATTCTTACAAATGTTAAATGTCAAGACCATTCTTTAGACCTGTTGGCATATAGCTATGCTGATTTTACATTGAGAAACACCTTTTTTACCTGCCTGCATAGATCATGAAGCTAGAGAGGTTTTTTAAATAGTTTTAAATATCTGTGTAAGATAATTAGTTCTTGTAAGAGACGTATTTACTGGAATGTGTTATATTGAGGAAACACAGAACGTAATGGCAGTTTTCTTGATCAGTTTTTCAGAAACCTTAGGAAGCCTTTTTGGTACCTTCTGTTGTACAGTATCTGGTGGTATTATTGTTACAACACTACCTATTTAAATCAGGAGTTTTCAGCCTGGTAATTTCTCATTTCAGTTGCTATAATATGATTTTCCACTCAAATTATAGTGCCAGCCACAAAATTCTGACTCCATTTTGTTAAGAAGTTTAGCAATGCATGTAATTAGGGGAGAAATGGTTTCGTGCCTTTAAGTTTCTAGCAGTTGTTTCATGGAGAACAATGGTAAAACTTCTTAGATCACAGAAATAGTCTTAAGTTTAAGTAAGATGACATCTAAGATGGACTGATAATTTCTTGCCCTTGTTGTTACTAATAGGAAGTTGTAAAAAGAGTATCTATTTTGAAGCTAAAGGCAGTGAGAGAAAAAAATCTGTTCCATTCCACAGTAGGCACTATTAACACAGATTGCCTTCACCCCAGAAAGCCTCATCACTGAGATGTTTTAGACAGGTATTTGTTTCTAAAAGTTGGAGAAGCTAAGGAATTAAAATGCACCTTAGTTTTAAAAGCATGTTTTCTGAGAATTAATAAAATGACACTTTGTCTTAATTTTGTGTCTCCAGTCATGTGAGAAATTAGAGGACTAGCTTCATCCTGCCGAACTTTGATTTTTCAAGCCTCAGACTGAATTTGGCAGTCTGTATTGCTCAAATCAGCTTGTAAATGAATTATTTGTTTCTAAAGTGCAACTGATACCAACTTGCATACAAATATTTTAATATATGAGCATATAACTCATTTGATTCTGTAATTATAAGATGGCTACTCTTGTTGAGATGCATATTTGCTCTGAAGCTTAGTATTAATTTGTACTGCTGAGTTTCTCAAACTGCAGTGTGCCATTATTAAGTATAATTTTGAATGGCCTTTTTCCATCCTGTAATTTTCTAAGTTGCAAGCTTCATCTTATTTTGGGCTAGAATGCTCTCAAAAATCATTTTAGCCTATGTGCATGAAGATTGACAATGGCAAGTCTGGATGAAGATGATGTTAAAAAATGGTCATGTAGCTGATATGAAATTACATTGTCAAGCAAAGGCTGCCTGTTGGTAGCACAAGAAAGCTTTCTGTGGGATTCCAGCTCGGGGGGGGGGGGGGGGGAGCCCTCTACAGGCTTACCTGCTCAACTGGGGCAGGGGAAGGAGGGAAACTCAACCAACAGGGACTGCCTATCACAGATGAAAAAAAAGGTGTAAGGACTTAAGCAAGACCAGATGTGTCACACTGGTTAGACACTGTGTCTTTAAAGAGCAAGTGGTAGGACTGACTGCATAATTAGTGTTCAAATAGTTTCTTTCCTATTTTGCTGGCTAGCAGTTCCTCCTCAAAACCCTATGTAAACACTTTACTCAGAGTTCTAGAGAAGTCTCTTAATGTGACTTAAGTCTATTAGAGTTTTGTTCCGCATTGGTGCAGGAAGACCTTGTAGTTGGGGGAGACAGCATCAGTGACTAGAAGAGAGAGATTATTTCAGGCCTTCTAAAAATAAATGTTATAAAGTAAGTAGTTACTTTATAAATAAGAAAGGACTGCTTACTTTTGGAAGAGCTCTAGGAATAGTCTATACTTTTCTCTATGTACTCTCAAATACTTAAATAGGCATGTAGACTGGCAGCCTTTCATACTTTGCTGTAGTATACTGTAGATGCAGCTTCATGGAGTTCAAAACTGTCCTTCCTTGAGTCTATTCCTTAGAATCTTTTCCAGTGAAAATTGAGTAGTTACTGGAACTGTGAATAAAACTGTATCAGATGACCACCGACCCTGGAGCATACTGATTTTTACGTGTTCTTTTTGTAGTCTAAAAATACTGCAAATACAATTTAAAAACCATTAAAATTGTATTGTAAAAAGCCCTAATTATTTTTTTTTTGATGGCTCCTAGTTTCATATATGTGAACCCTGGCTTTCATTAAAAGATATAAGTAGGACTGCAAGGCTCATGGCTACAGAAAAAAAAACATAACAAAGCTTTAAATGTGTATTTCCAAAAGGTTTAGCAGGAGAAGGAAAATAAAAAATCCCAATCTATTTTTAAGTATCTGAGGATTTTTCCTTAAAAGTCGTAATCTTTGTATGGTCTGACACATGAGATTTGAACACCTGGAGTTACTAAGGCAGAGACCAAAAGATTATGAAAGGGAGAGGGGGCATAGAAGATATGATTAAAGTAACACTGACTCTAATTAGGTAAAAAGGCAAATATGTGTAGTTGATGCACAACTAACCTGCACTGCTTCAGACACCAGTGATCCTAAAAAGTGAAACAGCTGGGAAAGCTTAATGCACAAATGTACGATATAGTAGTTAATGAAATAAAAATGAGAACGCCCCCTGCAATTATTGATTATACCTTGTTTTGAATCACAAGCTGCAGATGAGAGTGTTTTGAGAAAATGAAAATGTGTGGAAGAAATATTTGAAAGTATGATCACAGGCTTTTGTTTGATTTGTTTGCTTTTTTTGTTTGTTTTGGTTTGGTTTTGTTTGTTTTGTGTTTTATTTTGGTTTTGAGGGTGGAGTTGGATTAAAAAATGGTCAAAAAAGTTTTCCTCTGTTAATAAAAGTTTGACAGACTGATCCTTATAATTCAGAGGTGTTTGCATAGGGTTTGCAACATTAGTGGATGCCATCATTGGTAGTCTAAACTAAGCTGCTTCTGGGAATAAAAGAAAAAAATTGGTAACGTGTATCTTCTTATTCAGAAGTATAACAGAAATAGCAGTAGGGGAATGCATTTTTAATTGCAGTTAAGCAAGCTAGACAAAGCTTTGTAAGAACAACCTTACAATGAAATGAAAGAGCTTATGATTATTTTGGATGGTTTGACAGAAATGTCATTTCAATGTTGATTGCCTATCAAAAATGTAAACAACATCAGTTACTATTTGGGAGGGCAGAGGATGGGGAATGAAGCAAATTGCCCTCTGATGTGTGAAGTTAGTGTTTGTCTTCAGACTCCTTGGGATAATAAAATTTTCAGAAAAGGGAAGTCAGGATAATC